AAATATCCAAGGTGAATAGACTTTGTAAGTTGGCGCGAAAAATGACATACAATAATAATGTTTGCAGAAGGAAAATGGACGTTTATCAACACAGTACGCTTCAATACATGCATAAATTGAGATTTATTTGCGCATACGATAACACTCTTTCACATGCAATAATTTTTTTGTGAAATCAACATAAATTTCAAGGTGTATTTGCAGGATAATTTGTGGGAGCGAACGACAATGGGGCTTTTAAAGTCGAAGAAAGCTCGCTCACTTCAAAAGGCAAAATATAAATATCTGAGGCCAAGATCAAATCGATGCAGAAAAGACACAAAGTTTAGGCATATATGTTGCTATTGACTGAATTATTTTTAAGATCTAGCCACATAAAAACAGAACTGAAGCAGTTAAAATATTCGTACCTTCTTGGCTTCTGCATTCGAAGTATACACCTCCAGAGTTCGAAGCACGTTGTTGTTGTTTAAAACGCCGTGGAGACGTTTTATTAACTTCCAGTACAGGAAAATATGCTGAATATACCATTTCATGTCTTAGATGCAACATCGAGCGAGTTTTCATGAGATCAATAGAGCAAAATTTAAATACGTTCACTCCTTTGCCGCCATGTTCCAAAAAACAACAAAATTTACTATTTTTTCGCAAAGCATCACGGTATTTTTGATCGCGAGTTTCTCAATTTTAAAAAAAATCTCCTCTTAATATGTTTCCACATTTGCTTTGTATTATTTCTGTTTCTGTCAACACAGTTTGTGTAATAATCTCGCTTTGCATACATAATTTTTTTGTTAATCTCATTGCGAAGACTTTTGTAAGCATTGTGGCATGCAGTTGAGTTTGTCTTAATAGCTTTCTTCTTGAGATAATCTCGGCGATTCATACTTTTCTTAATTGCATCAGTCAGCCACGGTGCCTTTCTGTTTCTAACTTTACGGCTTTGAAGTGGAGCATGAATGTCAGCAACATAATTGAATGTTGTTTGAAAGTTCTCCCAAAGCATATTTGGATCATTTATCTCCCAATTTAAATTAGATAAAGCATGGTATAAGTCTTGGTTAAAGTCTCGCTGTATGTAGTTTTTAAAATTTCTTGACTCAACAAATTTGGGATCATTTTTAACAAACGAAATTTTTCTACAAACGTAGATCAAGCTATGGTCACTTATTCCAACATGCAATACTCCTGAGTGCGAAATCTTTTCAGGATTGTTTACAAGAGCGACATCCAAAAGAGAAGCTGTTTTTTCGGTAATTCGTGTAGGCTGGTCAATCAACTGTGTCAGCTGGAATATATTAACTATATCATTAAAACGGTTAGTGTGATTGCTTAAATTGTTGGATAAAAAATCACAATTTAAATCGCCAACGATAATTAGTTCTTTATGTTCGTTGTCAAGGTTTTGAAATAATACTTCAATTTTATCAAGGAATTCAATTTGCGAATTCGGTGGCCTATATGCAGATGCAACTAAGACAGGTTTAGATTTAGGCTTAATAATTTCGAGGCAAACAGCCTCGACTGGGAATAAATCATCTCTATCAATTACGTTCAAAATACTGCGATGGTAAATTGCAACACCGCCTCCTTGCCGATTACGATTTTTGGCAACCATGTCGTAACCGTGTATACTAACAGTATCTGTACTAATTGTTTCATCCAAACGAGTTTCGTTAATGCTCAAAACATCCAGTGGTTCTTTTTCCAAGTATATTTTTAATTCATCAACATGCTTGACTAACGAAGCGATGTTTAAATGCCCAACTCTAAATCCTTTCAAAGATTGTAAAAATGTAATGCTATTTTCACACTTTGTTTGTGGAATAATCTTCTCAATGGAGCAACTTGGCTCTTTTGGTTCGGTATCGGAAATTTTGCTGTAAAGAGTTGGAACTTTACTTAGGCTAAAAATTATGTAAATAACTAGAAAATACATGCATGCAGAAACCCTCGCCTTGCTGACAAAACCATTTTATTTTCCGAACGCGAAGTATTTTAAGTAGTTGTCATGGTAACACGATCATTTTTTAAGAATATTTTTACAAATGAAAAATCCCCCAGAAATATCACTATTAATTACAAAATTATCAATTTCCTAAACATACATATGTTAGGTATGTTATTATACGTAATATAAGCATGAATTTAAGGTAAAATTCAACCACAAACGCTTCGCAAAACGTTTTAAAATGTTCTTTTACTATAGAACTAAACTGCCTTTATCGATAAACTTTGAGTTCAAAATAAAATGATTCCAAATTCTCCCATGCAAATAACTTTGCTTAGTATGATAAAAAGTGTAATCAATAAAGAAACACTGAAATAATACGCTGTCTTGTTTCATATTTATACACAACGATCGGCTTTTAAATTAATTACAGTAGGTATGTTATTATACGTAATATAAGCTTCAATTTAAGGTAAAATTCAACCACAAACGCTTCGCAAAACGTTTATTTATTTATTTATTTATTAGGCTTTGCCAAATCAACTTAAAATCACTTGTTGTACATACATTAACATAAACGATACATACATTGACATGGCTGGGTTTGAAAGTGTTCTTTTAATATAGAACTAAACCGCCTTTATCGATAAACTTTGAGTTCGAAATAAAATTCAGTATTCCAAATTCTCCCATGTAAATAACTTTGCTTAGTATAATAAAAAGTGTAATCAAGAAAGAAACACTGAAATAATACGCTGTCTTGTTTCATATTTTATATACGCAACGATCGGCTTTTAAAGTAATTACAGTCGAGATTACAGTATGTTAAAAGCAAACAATGCATCAATATTTAAAACAAACTTACCTTCGTTAACGTCGGCACCTTTACTTCCTTCTTTTAGCAATCCTCTTGCTTTTATTTCATCAAAATCCTTTGCAATTTACAAAATCTTGCAAAAATGAAATATATTTGCAAGAAATCATCAAATCAATTTCGCTGTCGTCAATCGTCATGCAGCCGTTATAATGCCAATTTTAAACTGGACCAATCAGTGTTGGCTATTCATTACAGTCCGCTATATTATGAGATCAGTGAGGATGACCACCCACCGAAACACGCACAGTGACCCACGCCCGCGATATTTGATGAACTTTAGACTTCGCTAATGCTTCCCTTCCCCGGGTGTAAATAGCCGGGGGGAATTAGTACCCTCGCACGGCGCTTCGCGCCGCCGGCTCGGGGACTAATAAAGTTTTTAGCTAAAGTAGAAGATCCTAACTTATTCAGATGCAATTTGGATCTGTTAAGCGACTTACTGAGGATATTGTTGTTATGTATAATTAAATTTAAATTAGTCGCAGTACAGTAATCTGCTAACAAACGATTTACCTCTTGAACAGTTGTTTTGGCAGAGTGCCCTAAATTATATCGTTCTAACTGTTTACTAATCATTTCATTACCAAAATTAATGGAAAAAATCAGGAGAATTATTTATTTGTTATTCCCACGACAAAATCGCTTTTTTCAAGAGTTTTTAATTCTTTTGTAAGCGATTTGATCATATTAAACTCATAAAAGCACATAACTTAAGGTGGCTCGCTGCAGTTTATAGAAATGTTGAAAATACGTAAACTAGATCACCTTTTTGAAGAGATGATGCTTTTTACTGTAGTGTCCAGCATAATTAACATCATAAACATTAATTATGGACCACGAGGAAGTAACCAAGATGGCGATATAGATGCAACTGTAAGATTATGTTCTGTTAGAGATTATTAAAGAAAGCATAGATAACAATGTTATAGACAACATTATATTGGCGACGAGGATCGTTTCATATACAAGTACCTCAAATGGCGACTAGCTTACCAGAATTTGCTTCTTTTGACGCCGAGGATCGGGAAAATATCGAAATTCGATGGCAACGATGATTCATGCGATTCGAAAATCTACTGATTGCACTCGATATAAAAGACAAGAAAAGAAAACGAGCGTTATTACTATACTATATCGGTGAAAGTACTCTAAATATCTTTTAAACACTGCCAGAGACAGGCACAGAAGACGAATATGACGAAGCGTGTCAAGCTTTAAATAAACACTTTAAACCTCGCAAGAATACATCGTTTGAAATATTCAAGTTCAGGAAAGCAAACCAACTTGTTGGCGAAACTCTCGATCACCATGTACGACTCGTCCAGAAAGCTACGTACTGTGAATTCTCAAACTTAGATACTGAGATAAAAGCTCAAATTGAGCTAGGGAGCAATTCCAAACAACTTCGACGACATGCTTTCCGTAAACCAAAACTGACTTTGGCTGAACTCTTAGACTATGGACGGACACTTGAAACTGTTGAAGAAGATGCGAGCGGAATTGAGCAAAATATGAATGAAATACCAATGAAAGATATCCACGCCGTACGACGAAATGCGGCTGCTACAACGCCTAAGAAAATATGTTTCTTTTGTGCATTAAACTAGCCACATGTGAATGTTTGTCCGGCAAAAGGGAAAACATGCAACCATTGTCACAAGCAAAACCATTTTGCACGATGTTGTAAATCGAAAATTTCAGCTGGACAGCGTGAAAGTAAGTTTCCTCAGAAATCCAATGAACGAAGATCCCAAGTGAAACAAATAGACGAACAAGGTACGAATTCAAGCTCAGATGAATATGTTTACACAATAAAAAAACAAACCCCTGATACTAACAAAGTCGTTTTAACATCTATCACCACTTCACCCACAGGAGGAACTGTTAATGAAGTTAACAGTAACTGTCGAAAACGAAATTTCTACACCCATACTAAAATCAATGACATAACTATTTATGTAAACATTGATTCTGGTGCTAGTGTAAATATTATCGATAATACTAGTTTTGTGAAATTAACACGCCAGAACAACATCCACTTGATGAAAAGCAAAATAAAACTTTTTGCTTTTGCCACTAACACACCTCTCGACATCAAAGGGTATTTCGAAGCTTCAGTTGAATCAGGAACAAAAATTACCACAGCCCAATTTTATGTGATAAACACTGATGCTGGATGTCTAATAAGTGGAAACACTGCAATTGATCTTGGGTTATTAAAGCTAAACAAAATTGCATTTGTTACATTTCGACCTTCAAAACCATCAACCTAAGAAAAATGCTCCAACAAATAGCAAGTCTAGACCTAAAAGATTGAGAACCTTATTTTTGAAATATGATTATTTATTCCAAGGAATCGGAAAAGTCCCAGATTACAAAGTCCATTTACACATTGATAAAACTGTCCAACCCAGAATTCAAAAAGCCCGCAGAATCCCATTTACAATGAGAACCAAACTATCAGAAGAACTGCAATTGTGAAAAACTCTGAGAAAAGGAGGGATGTAGTGTCTAGCATAATTAAGATAATAAACATTAATTATGGACCACGAGGAAGTAAGCAAGATGGCGATATAGACGCAACTGTAAGATTATGTTCTGTTAGAGATTATTAAAGAAAGCATAGATAACAATGTTATAGACAACATTATATTTACAAATCGAAATTTGTTTTTTATATATACAGCGACAATCATACAGTCGAAAATTGGTCAGAAAAGTGACGTCACCACTGTTGCTATGGCAACAATGACGATTCAAGATGGCCGATATTTTGGCTTTGAACGCATTTTACTTTAAAAAAAGGTCGGTTACCCCCATTTTTTATCTCATAAAACATTTTCTTATAGTGCAATGCACTATCTGACCAATTTTTTAAAAAATTCTGTAATGCAAAAAAAAATTATTTCGAAAAACGATGTTTATAAATTTTTAAAAAATTTGACATTATAAATTTTTTTAAAAATTGGTCACATAGTGTACTGTACTATAAGAAAATGTTTTCTGAAATAAAAAATGGGGGTAACCGACTTTTTTTAAAAGTAAAATGCGTTCAAAGCCAAAATATCGGCCATCTTGAATCGTTATTGTTGCCATAGCAACAGTGGTGACGTCACTTTTCTGAGCAAGTTTCGACTGTTTGATTGTCGCTGTATGTATAATATACAAATTTTGATTTGTAAAGAGCATCATCTCTTCAAAAAGGTAATCTCGTTTACGCATTTTCAACATTTCTATAAACTGTAGCGAGCCACCTTAAGCCTGTTTTATATAACGAATGCAATTCAAACAATAGATAATGAGATGATAAACCTCATTAAGTATCATTATCTATTGTTTAAATTGCATTCGACTCGACCGAAATTCGACCTACAAAACAGGCCTTAAAATGGAAAACATGATCCAAACTCTCGTTTCGCTGCATCCCGCTGAAATTTTTTTTAAAACTTTTGCCAGGTATTTCCCAGAGGCTCTTTTTGCCATACAATGGTTTTTAAACTCATTCTTGTGCAAAAATGTAGTTAAACTCGCCCACGTTTGTTATTTATATGCAAGATAAATTCCGCCGCCATATTGGATTTTTGTTGTTTTGATTCGAATTCCCCCACCTCCCTCCCCAGCCATCATGAAAATCATTAATTCCACTCACGGAGAGTGCAATTAAAGGGGAAGTCAGAGTTCAGAACAATTTAAACTCATATAGAAGATATATAATGCTCCACATCTCCATGTTATAACCAAGTCAAGAGCGATAAATGTGCTAAAATTTACATATAACGCAGCCGCCATTTTGTACATCAAAGCGAAGCTGCGATCACGCAGCGGTTTTACCTTGTGACGTCATTGCGCGGTTTCGCGGGAGCGCATTTATATTCAAATTTCAAAACAACACAGCAATTTCACAGGCGACTTTTCTAGTTTTATAAATACTTATTTCGGAAAAATGCCGTACTGCATGGTTCCTGGTTGCACAAATTGTTCAAAGAAGACAAAAGGGAGTGATATATCGTATCATCGTTTACCAAATGATCAGCAAATGCGAAGAACATGGCTCAGTCGTGTTCGTCGTGACAACCTGCCGAAAGCTAATTCGTGCTATGTTTGCAGCGCTCATTTTACCCCAGATTGTTTCGAGGGTTCTCTTAAAGAATTATTTGGCATGAAAGGGGAAAAGGTTCTAAAATCTGGAAGTGTTCCATCGATATTTCCGTTTTTACATCGCAAACCAGAACGCGAATTATCATATAAGAGGGCACAAATCAGAGAGAAAATTGCGAAAGACGAGGTAATTTCTATTACTGTAGAAGTGTATTTTTCTGTGTGAACAGACTAGATTGCGAAATCTATAAAGGTTATGGTAGGGGATGGCAATTACTAATTTACTGTACATTCTCTATTATGGACGCCAGAGCTTTACTTTTCAGGTCTGTTGGATGGGGGAGGGGGGTAGTCCCAAGGCGGGCTCAATAGAATAGGGTTATAGCTTAATATGAAA